ATTCATCAACGATTTAAATACAAATACATTTCAAGATTTAAGGTTGACGGCAAGGTTTACTTTTGGTCATTGTGACAGGCACGTGAAGGAGACCCTGGCTCCTACCAAGATGATTCTGAAGTCCCAGACAGAATGTACAAAAGAATTTTCTACACCCACGGTCTCGTATACAATCAAAGTCCAGAAAATCAAAGAAGCGAATCAAAGCCTATGGACGAAAAGAAACCTCTTCCAGCACGATTTCGAGAATTCCAAGCCAGTGATGCCGAACAAAAGTTGAAGACACTGATAGCTCTAAGAGATCGTGCGAAGTCAATCCATGAAGATCTTGCCCATTCAGTATTAAAACAAGAAGCACTGATGGAAAATCGTCGGGAACAGCAGCGCAAAGCTCCCGAATGGGATAAGATCCTGGAAGGATGGTAAAGAGAAGAAATTCATACATGGGATGGTGGTTAGCGTCTAGAGTAGATATAAAAGAACATAAGGACACGATAGCAACTTCACGCTGCTAAGAATAACCGGATAAATTTTAACTGTTTTTGTTTCATTTTTTGCGATGCATTATACTTTATTTTTTTATATAAATATATAAATGTCCTTGGGTTTGCAGTTTTATTTCTTTTGTCATCCTTTTACCGAGCAAAAAGTTCAACTTTGAAGCGAAGGATTTTTTTTTAAAAATATGTTCTGGTTTAAAACTGAGTTAGTTATTTTCCGTAACAGCCCTGTCAACGTAATACCTTTTTCAAGATTGTTCATATTTTATATACAAGAATCAAATAGAAACACCATTTAGCGTGTACTTTTACCAGGGGTCCCAGAACCACGTCTATTTAGGCATTAAATAAGCTTTAATCTCATAATATTTAATCTCAAGACTAAATGATATTATTCTGTGGCATTAGTACTATTATATTGTAATTAGTGTTATGCGAATCACTTTGTGTTAATAAAGAAACCTGTGTAACCTCGAAACTGGATTAAGTTTTTTGGCAGCAGTCGCCTTCAGGCCCTTTGCACCCTTGCATAGTGTCAGGTGGCTTGTCAGTAGAAGAGAGAAATTTATGACGCATGGAAAGAGCGCGGTAAGCCTACGGTCAGGCTTTCATTTTGGGTCTAGAAGCTGTTTGGCTTATTTCTTCGCTCAGACCCCTTGTAGATGGCGGGCCAGCCCGCGAGATCTGGGTAGAAGCAGAGGATGTGAAGAAATGATGGAGGTTTGGGTCGAGTCCCGTAATGAATGCCCTTCCCTACAGCAGAGGGAAAACTTCCCTACGCGACCCGCTCCTCCGACTTTTGCGCCGTTTAATCTTTAGCCCCGTTTTGCTTCTTGAGCGCCTGGAACAGGCTAGGGAGATGATTGTGGGGCATCGCCAGTGAGAGCCTGGTCACTTGTGAGTAGCCCGTTTATGAGGGGTGGGAATTGATGACTATGTTTGCAGGCTTAGTTGCATTCCGTATTAACAAACCTTAAAGCGAAAATTTGTACCAGTTTAACAATTCCAAAACCCGGATGACTATGCTGGAGGGAGAAATTTGCCTTCAAGGAAATATTCTCCTCACAAATATTTGTGAGAAATTTTCTGTTGAGAACTGCGTGTTTACTGCACGTTGAAGTAAATTTCCCCTGGAGAAACAACGTCGTAAAGGCAACAACGAATGATATCATACACCCACTTGATATAAAATGGACAATTTACGTGAAAGTTTACGAAGTTCAAACTTTCACTTTACTCTCAGAGGCTTCAAAATCGAATTTTTTCTTTTACAAATTTCTTAACACTTTTACCATTTTGAATGTTTATTACTTACCATAAGCACTCCTTTATAAAGGGCTTACGATGAAATTGATCACTCAAGTTATGCTTAGCGTGCACAGTCGCGTTATGAATGCGTTTGGGAAGTTAGGGTATCACAAGGGAGGCATAAGAGTTGCTCAAATGCAGCTGATAGCAACTACAGCTTACTGGGTGAATTTTAAGTTAAAGCAGAGTTGCAAGAAAACACATGCGCGTGGGTTACTTTAAGTACATGCAAACGATGAGTCAAAAATTTTCTTCCTCGTGTACCACGAAACCTTTAGACCCGATTCTTAGCAACACATAAATGTTTGCCAGTTATTATTCCAACATAACGGCGACATCTTTTGCCTGCGCCGTGATTTGTACTCAAAATTTACCCTCAGATTCGAATGAAATTTAAAAACGCAACCGTTCTGCTGTGTTTTGGTTTCTCTAACTCTTGCCAGCTTGTTAATTTAAAAGGTCTGTGAAAAAAGAATAATTTCAAACTTTATTATTTTGCTTGCGCCGCTGATTGTCGCAGAGCTCAGAAACAGGAATTCCCAGTTGCACTCGACGGGAATTTTTGCAGTTAAAATGGAAACCCACTCAGTGCTCATGTTTATACAAAAATGGCGGAGTGTTTACTGTATATAACTGAGAGCCAAGTTGGAGACATCGTTTGTTTACATACGAACAAATTCAGGTTGTCGTGAAGAAAAATCAAGAGAGATAAAAACAAAAGCCAAAGGAATCACTCAGGCTTTTTAAGCATTCATTTCGTCAGTTAGGAGGATCTGTTAAAAAGATTATTCATATGCTGATTATTCCTATTTGGCGTCGAAGTTTTTTTTTCGATTTTTCGATGACAACGCTACTTCAACCATGTATGAATCATTGCAGCTCGCATTGGAGACGCGTGAGATCAATTTGAAGATTGATTCAGACACTAAACTTCCGCGTCGTCGTTTATTTAAGTTGTTTGTCTTGTTGGCAATATTCCTTCCAGTTCTTTATCGCGAGCTAGTCACCTATAAGGCTTTGCATGATGATATCCGATTGAATAAAACTTAATCGATATCACTCAATTTCACAGCTACCCACATTTTTAATTGCTCACTACAGGGCACTTATATTATTTCATATTCTCTTTCAAGAGTTAACATCAAAGCTCGCTCTATTTTTGGCTTTTGGAAGTTCGTAGACGTTCCTTAAGTACTCCTCTTAAACAATCCTTCTCTGACGCATCAACCTTTTCAATTGCACGGCGCTCGGATCGTACGGCGATGAACTACTCCAAGGTGTGAATAACTCATGAATCTCTTCAAATCCTTTTACAATGAGTAAATTACCTTTCGAAAAAATGAACGCGTTCATTTTAGTCCCCTATTCAGTACTATCCGGTCGATTGGCTATAATTTTAGCCAACTATAATTCAGTTTATGGTGAACACCAGGGCCGTAGCCAGACATCAGAACAAGACGGGGCAAGTTTCGAGCGCCCGAGGCGCGAGCCGCTAAGGGAGTCTGGAAATCTAGAGGCTCAGAAATGCTCTTTTAAGCATTTTCCGTGGCATTTTTCTTCAGAAAAGTGAATCTTGGACCAAAATCAAGACGAAGCAGTTGCCTCGTCTTGCCTTATGCTAGCTACGGCCCTGAACACTTTCAAGGCAAAGAAGGTAACTGAAAGATTTTACACAAAATCATTATTTACCTAGATTCACGTAATAATCGATTTTAAAGGGTTTCCAGGTACAAAGGGAGGCTATTTAGGGTGTTCAGTGATTCATGGCCTTTCATTTAAATGCAAATACTTTTAGTTAGATCACAGAACAGCACGACGATAGCAAAACATGCACAAATCATAACTTTCCAATTGAAATCCTTAAAACGCCCCATTTCTAATTATTTTTATTTTAAATACTAGCATCAATTCAAAATACTTCTTTGCAATAATAATTGTTGATTATGTTAAGTCTGGTCAAGAGATTTTACAGGTTTATGATAGAGCCTTACAAATGGCGTTAGTTTTTGTTACAAATCGTGAGTGCATGTTTCAATTCTTTTTTTCTCCCATGTAAAGAAAATCGAAGCGAATGGCAATTGATGTTTCAACTTTTGAAGTTTTAGAAATCTCTAAATTGTTCACGAAAGGTACCCTAGGTCTTTTCCTACTTAGCAATTCATGTATGCAGTAGAACTCTATCGCGTCAAGGAAATTCGTTGTTGTTTTTTTTTCCTTTTTTAGAGTCAAGTAGGTGTGCGGTTCCTCTAATCAGGGAGAAAAAAACTTTTATCAGGAAATACTCCGCATAACACTCGGTTTTTTATAAATGTCCTACGAAAAGTGAAAGCGTGGAAGCTGTAAGTAGAGAAGTCATTTTCTACTTCCCCTAAAAGCTCACCCAAACAAAAAGCGTCAGCCAGAAAAGCTTAGCAGGAGTTCATTCAAAGCTAACGATTTATCGAAATTCTCAGTCAGAGCAATTTATTTGATCATTAAACGCGTATTGTGCCATGACTGTTGATCGGATATTTTTCATTTACTAAAAAAACTGGCAGACGCTTCATTTCCATATAAATTAGATAGAGACGTCAGGAATCATTTCAGTCGAGTTTATTTTCACGGTTTTTCGCTCTAACAACAACAACAAAGGAACTCATGTGCATTAAATGTTGTTAATTTTAGAAAGGTTCATTATATATCGATGATTTGTGATTGTATTTCCTCAAAGAAAGGCATCAGTGATTCTGAAACGCTTCACTGGTCCACAATTTTTCCTGATAGAATAATGATATAATTCCAGACACGTTTGATACTATCACTTGCAAATCTTAAGTGGGTTCGGTTCAAAAGCTGTTTATCATGTTGTTAAAAAGCTTAGACCCCCTACTTTTGAAAAACTACGGGTTGTAAAGTCTTTTAAGAAATGAAAATTTTTTACGAAGATTATTCGAGAAAACTGTATCATACTTCAACGATGAGGTTTATGCTGTGAAGCCGTACACATCGAGTTACATCAGTATATTGGCGCAAATTAATATCGATCTTAGCATGTGACGCTCAGAAAAACCAAACGCGATCTCTTAGTTAAATTCGCAGTCGTGACAGTTGTCGCTCGAGCACGAGGTGTGAATCAGTGCTCGTAACAGTGGAACACGGGTACCAGCGCCATAAACCTGCCAGCACTAAGTGGACAAACGTGTATAGCAATGTGCGGCTCTTACATGGTGTAAGACACAGTATACGTCACACCATTGTTTTCTTATTTCCAGTTGTGATGAAATTCTATTGTGACGTATACTGTGTCTTCTACACCAAGTAAGATGTTCACCGGTAAAATAGATTGTGAGATATCTTTTAAATCATAGAGACACGGCGTTTTTGAGGAAGATGGTATTTCAGAAAATAAGAAGATGAACATGTACTGTAGCGATGGCGATTTCCTCTTCTCGATTTCAGAGAGTCACGCTGTATTCCTTGCTGCTTTTGGCGATGATTCTCGTTTACCAAATCTACCATCATGGAGGCAAGCTGCTTAGCAAAAATCAACAAGAACGAAAAGACGACTGGACCAAGCATTTGCAATCAAATCATGTGAAATTGTCTCGGACAAAAGCAGCGATAGAATCGCCACAGCCTATTCGAAGAGACTTGAAAAAAACCGCCGAACAAGGGAATCCAATATTGCAGATGGAAGTGAAGAGATTAAAAACCCGCATAAATCGGAAAGATAGTCTTATTGAAAAGCTGACTGCTCAGTTAGAAAAGGAAAAATCTCGAGCAGAGAAATTGAATCAGGTGATTGGGAACTTGAAGGTTGAAAACACGCAATTACAGGCGGAAGTCGAGAGTAACTCTAACGGGGTCACGAGCGGTAGAAGTGAACAAAACACTGGCCTGAAGAAAGAACTCGGTTCCCTGATTAAAACATCTCCAAAAATCAGCGATATTCATATATCACAACGAATTCCATTTGAGAGTTTCGCCAAAACGCATCTCTTCGAATACTCCCCTAAAAAGAAACCGAAAGAATATATTTTCCATGGTCAAAATTCGAACACGCGGAGAGTAAAATCCGGAGAGCGCCATCTTGTCCAAGCACAAGATATCGGTGTCAACTTTATCAACACAAACACGTCATACCACGTAAGCCGCGAAAACATGGTGGATGGGGTCTACAGAATCGATATCAACACTGGTATTGATTATGAACTGTATTTCAAAGATCCGTCAGCGAATAAATTTATCACAGTGCGGCTTATTCGCCCATTAGGTGTTCTGCAACCAGTTGCTCTACCAGAAGACAATAGAGGTCCGAATGAACTTATAAACTTAATTGTTCCCTTATCTGGGCGCCTTGAACGATTTCAACAGTTTATGGATATGTTTGTGGAAGTGTGCATTAAAATTGACAAAAACGTGTTTTTGACAGTGGTCTTATACGGAGCCTCGGACTTCAACACTGTAAAAACTACCCTCAAAGATTTGGAAGTTACGTATGGTTTTAAAAAGTATCAACTTATCATGCGGGATAAACCGTTTTCTCGGGGGAGAGCTTTACATGATGGTGTCATGTACTGGAGTAGCAGCCCGAAAAATGTTTTAATGTTTTTCTGTGATGTGGACATAACGATTCGCCCTGATTTTCTTCGAAGGTGTCGCATGTACACTCAAAGGAAGGAGAAAATTTATTATCCGATGGTGTTCAGCTTGTTTAATCCAAAGAATGTTTACGAACAAGGAACTATTCCACCACCCGCAGAACAACTCAAAATTGGTAAGAAATTGATTTCATTTCTATGTTTAATTCACTCAGAAAGTTAACAGAAAATTGCTAGAGCAGTCCGAAGAAACTTCAAGTTTATGCATTTTGTAGCAAGTCTTTGTCTGCGCTGCGAGTACTGAGAGCTTCTCGGATATAATTCGGTTCCTTATGTTTTCTTTCTTTCTTTTTTACAGTACTGTTTAGAGATTTAATTTTCCTTTGCGCAAATAATTTCAATGGGTGATCTACGGTAAAATCACATTTTATTGTTAAACGCTTAAAACAAAGATTTGCTAGAGCCATCACGGTAGCTATCTTGGCGGGGACCGAAAATCGTGGGCACCTGTCCAGTGTTAACCACAAATCAAAGTTATTACACTATTTGTTTTTATGGAGTTATAGTCACGGTCGTTACAAAGTGAAATGCACTCTTTGGTTTTAGTAGAACAAACTTATTTCGACTAAATCGACATTTTCCCCTGTTTTATGCAGTCGTCAAAACCATGTTGTAAATGTCAAAAAACACCTTCGAACGTTTCTTTAGATTTCAACGTTTTAATTTATTGTAGACCGGAAGTACGGCTTTTGGCGTGAATATGGGTTTGGAATGACTTGTCAGTACAGAGCAGACTATCTCCGTGTTGGTGGATTTGATTTAAACATCGAAGGCTGGGGAACTGAAGACTTGGGATTGTACCAAAGATATCTGCAACAAGCAAACATCAGGTGATATTAATGTTTCACTGTAGCTCTTCGATTTTTCAACTGTCGCGTAACGCAGAGCTGCTGTTTTTCCGTCTCCCTTTAATTGTCTTTAATGGATCAACGAAAAAGCAACCAGAATATAAAATTACCATTTTAATTAAACTAACATAAGAGAATTGAAGTAATATAAAGGAGCTACTCCTCACAGTAAAAACCTGTCATACCCGCCGAGGAAAATCAAAAAAGAACCTGCAAAACTGAAAGGGTCGGTTATTTACGCAAGGTCTAATAAAGTGTAGTGGTAATATACCTTTAAAAAGGAACTACTTAAAAAAACCCTCTTCAGTTTGCATGAAATATGTAATTCCGTATTCACTCTCACGCGACAATTTCTCAACACCCGTTCCCTTATTTACTATTGCTGTTTTATCTCTGACGAAGAACTTGCGCTCGAAATGTCAGTTTTAGAAACTCTTCACGGTGGCCAATTTACATCATAAAATCACTTGACAAAAACAAAATAACCAAGTGCTACCCCCACCGACACAGCAAGTCAGTTTCTTTGGCAACTGACCCCATTTATTATCACCACGGTTTGGCAGCCATAAATTTAAGGCATTTACAGTATTGTTTACTTTTAATCTGTTTTAGAATCATTCGTGCCCCTGACAGAGATCTTTTCCATCAATATCACGACAAAAAGTGCGACCCTAGCCTTTCTGAGGAGCAGTACCGGTCATGCCTCGGATCCAAGGCGAAAGTTGAGGGAACACACACTCAGATCGCTATACAGCTGACAAAACTTAGAGAGAAGTATGAACCAGAGTCACAATCTGAGAACGGTTATTGAGATCAAACTATTGAAAGAAACAAGTGCCAGCCCGTGACACGTGACCGTCACGAGGTGAATTAAGCTGCCCACACGAGGAAATCAACAAAACAGATACAACTAGAGACAATTCCAGAGCTGGGCGCTGCCTTTGAATTCAATCATGAACTGAGTCGATTGTTTCAATGGCGACAGATCACATCAACGTTGGGAAAGTTACGAAATGTTGCGTTTGTTGTAACCTGTCTGGAAATTCAAATTTTACAAGAAGTTTCCGTTCGAATGGAACCACAATTCTATTCCCTTTTTGAATGGAATGTTGAAAATTGCAACAAATTGTCCTTCTTGTTCGATAGAAATTAAATAAATACAGATATTGCTAAAAGCTCCATTCATGTTTGAATTAGTGTATGGTTATTCTTCAGCCGGTTCTTTTAGTCTAGTTCAAAAAAAATGTGGCCAGCCTTGGCCAGTTTTACACTTTTGTCCCTGTCACGTGTCCTTCCCAATGGTATGGCAAATTACACGGTAATTAAGACAGGCTAAAAGGAAGATTGGCCGGAACCAGGTATGGGAAAATATCAAGAAACGTGACAGCCCATGTTGCATAATATTTCCTTAACAGGATTTTGCCATAACTGTAGTTTTCATTGGTTCCCCTCGCCATCAGCTGTACCTCTCACTTGTCAAAAAGATCATGTTTGCTAGGGCGGCAATATAAATTACGGCATTTGAAACAATTTCCATAACTTCACTGTACCAAAGTGAAATAAGTATATTGTGCACGTCAAAGGTACGGCGTTCAACACGTGTCTTTAAGAAAGAAAATACGTTAAATAACACCATGATTAAAAGCTTTAAATTCATCTCAGTTTTCAATACCTTTATTTTCGACAGATTAGAGTTAATTTAAAACTAGCGCTAGCCACCGCCTGTAAATATTCAACTTTCTCTCGAAAAAAAAAGAAACCACTTGAGAAAAGTTAGTTAAAAACTCTGCCCAAGGTCAGCCAGGATTAGAAAATGAGTCATTTCCTTCGCGAGTTACTGTTATGAATGGAAGGTGTTCAAATTCAAATTGAAATCTTTCCGCGCTAAAACGCAAGCTTCACGCAAAACGTAAATCCATGTTGTAAGAATAAATGAACACATACGTCAGATGTATTTTTGAACCAAATAAACTAATTTACACACAAATTAAGAGGACATGACCTTCGCAGCCGTGAAATCACAATCGCTGAGATACAGCACACTTGTGTTCAAAATTGCCTAAAAATGGATGAGGATCAAATTACTTTTACGATATTACAAAAGCAGCAATTTGTAAATGGCTGAAAAAGACAATGACCAAAAACAAAAACAAAAAAACCAGAATAAAATTGCGCACTGTTGTGCAAAGAAATCAAGTAACAAGAAGCCTATGGCAGAATTATGACTTACGATGAAAACGAAACTTCCCAGGACAACCAATGAAAATGAAGAAAGAGCAACTGCAAGACGTTGCCGGTCTTGGTGTTACAAAACATTTTAAGACTTCACATAAAAGGGAATTTACGCGAGCCAGGAAATACAAGCTAAGTGTAAAGTCGATGCTAGTATTTCAACAAACGAAAAAAACACCCCCATTATAAACAACTCCTGAGATGGAACGAAGAGAAGATGAATACCTCACGAAAACTTTTCATTTGACTTGACAGGAAACAAGCCCACAGCAGTATGAGATTCAGTCTCTTTCATAAAATACGCCAAATTAATTACTTTCAAAGTGAGGGAAGCCACAAAATATATAGTTTGGAGATGGAAAAACACCAAAACAAAAGTAGTTTTACTAAAAAGTAAAACCAGTGGTGAGAGATAGAGAAGATTGAATCTGATTGCAGCCTGACCGCCACCTTGGGAAAGTTTTTGAAGCTCCTTCAAATGAAACGCAAGTTAAGCGACCAGAAGGTGTAAAGTTAAAATTTTTTTTTACACCTTTATACTGCTCCGTCCACTCAAACGTACTCAGCGTTATGAAAAATTACAACAACTAACTTTAACCTACAAGGAAGCCACAAGAAAATCAAAGATTCTCGATACTTGAGTTCTACCTAATAATATTCCGCAAAAATTATTAAATTCACTTCCAAGAATGAGTCTCAAACTCACCCTTAGCATGATGGATTGATACTAAGTTAGTCCCTTTATAATACTAACAAGAAAGCAGTATCTGCATATCATTATAGGGGTAGCTACCTAATTATCAACACTGGCTACAACTTTGAATTAAAGAATACAAGCTGAAGAACATTACACAAGTTCTGTCTTGACACTATTGGCACAAGCTCACCAGGGAGATTACCTGGATAATTTTTTAAGTCACTTCTGTTTCCATACAGATTTATTCGCAGATAGAGTGAACCTTCATCACAGAAGTTAATTAAAGAATGAGAATGACAATATTTGAAGTTTTACTCTTCATCGTCTTCTTCCTCCTCGTCCTCCTCTTCTTCGTCTTCGTCTTCTTCCTCAATAGCATCATCTTCTTCTCCATTCACATCACCATTCTCTACCCTGTCCAGTCGAACTAAAAACAGAAAACAAAGAATTCACTTCAGTAATTTAAACTAATGCCATTATGTGTAAGGTCATGTACAACAGAAACATTACACTGAAACCTGTATCAAGGGGACCCTATATTAAGCGGACATGAAACCCTAATCCAAAACAATTCCTTCCACATTTACTGACACTAAAGTCAACCCCTTTATTCCCTGAAACCTGTATAAAGTGGTTCCTTAACTCTTAAACTCCCAGAAATTATTAACATGTAACTTCTCCCTAAAATATTCATACACTATCCTGCAAACAGGTAACAAGAATATTCAAACTAATCAGGAAGAAGTTGATATCTTGATCCAACACCAGATTTTTGTAACTAAGGGGAGAATTGAAAATCTTGGAAGTAAAGAGTTAATGAGAAATTTTAGCTTCATTTCTATCCCACTGCAGTTTTAACATTACAATTTTCACACAAGAAAAAGGTTTTTCCCTTGGTATTAATTAAGACTAATTCTATCTGGCCAAAAAGACCAGACTTAAATTGTCACTGATTGCAAACTATTTTCTGTTTGGGAGTTTCGGTAACTGCTTCCCAGGTGATTTATCAAGCAAACACTAATGATACAACCTGGGTGCAAATCTAGGAGCCAACTGACTTTCTTCCCCCTGTTCACCCAATATATATTAATAACTTACTTGAATCATTGTTTCGAACCATTAACTCTGCTGCTCTGATTCTTGGTCCTTGTGTGTCAAAACTCATACCAAAAACAAGCAGTGTTCTGTTCTTTTCCAAAGAGGTGACAATTTTTTGTTCAACTTGACTACCAATAATGGCAGACTATAAGGAAAAGCATAAACAACTGGCTCAACAGTATGAAGCAGTAGAGTAACCAAACTTAACACAAGCTGTAGACATAAAAAGATTGCTCAGCATGCTTCACCACATTTTCAGTATCCCAGAACCAATAGAAAATATGTTAAATAGTACAGATTGAGGATGAAACTTAATCATTGTAAGACCACAGACTTATGTGATCATCAAGGAATGCATAGTTATCGTCATGATCATAATAAACTGCAACATTTATTTACTGAATGGGTGTAAACAAGCACCTTTGATAAAAAAATATATATTCACCTGATTGGATAGCCTCAGTGCTGTCAAGTTAGTATTAGTTTCTAGAACTTTCATGATTGCCTGAAAATAGAGAAATATTAATGCTATTTAGTACTTAGAGATCAGCATATTGCTTCTCATCACCAAAAATCATGTGTTACTTAAAGCTGACTGTCAACATAAAAGGAGAGAAGAAAATCAATTTATCACATGCCAGGCTTACATTGCCAGTTTCAAGAAAGATAAAATGAAATATTGGAAGTTGAAAAAAATTAGGTGTTTATTTTTTGTTTATTAGATATTATATCCTTCACAATAACTTGTTTCCAAAAACATTTGGTCTACATTTATAACTTCTCAGATATAATTGTTGAGTACCATATTTGCATGCAAGTGATTAATATTTTAGTCAAATAGCTTCTGTGTGTTTTCCATCAACCTTTGTCATCTTGAACAAGGGCTTCTGAAAGATTTTAACAAAACATTCCACAAGTTACTGCAAAAATGAACTGCAGAAATAATGTCTGCTACACACCATGATTCCATCTCCAGTCAGGAAGTTAGACTCCAGGTTGATGCTCTCTAAGGTCTTGTTTTTACTTAATGCCTCTGCAAACATCTGAGAGAATCAAACAGCAAATTTATTTTCAAACAAAATGTAGATGTCTGTCAAACAATGTTATCAACCAGGGGAGGGGAAGATGGTCCTGTCTTTCATGGTTACCGACTTTTGTTGCAACATGGTAAGTAGTGCTATCAAAATGATTTTCCCTGAAGATCATAATTATTACTTGAATAACAAGCAAAATTGTCAAAAAATTGGAAACAAATGAGACAAAAACTGTTTTTTGAATGCGCTTCAATTCAGAGTTTATCCTAGACAAAGAATACCTTGGCAGTCTTGTCTGTCATCTGTGTGTTGGCTAACTGAAGATGTTTAAGATTGGTATTACTTTTCAGTGCCTTGGCAACATCTTCAAGAATCTCTGTAGTGACATCTCTATGATTGTTCAAGTTTAGATTTGTCAATTTTGCATCATTTCTTTTGAATTGTTCCATTGCTTTCCCAAGGTCCAACTCATTTACAGCTGTGAGGTCAGGCTTTTTTATCTTAGTTGCCTTTACAACACCTGGGATTAGAAAAGGAATACTGTTAATCTTTCATTGTACTTTAGCAGCTGAAAACTAAAACTGAATTCACCAAAGGCAGTCCTCTGCTGGATTCAAATGAATGAGCTAGGCAATGTAAGTATAATACTGCTCTAACAACTACAGGCTGTAAGTCTACTGCCTGTGATCAAGACAGGTCTTAAAACCAAATCCACTAACAAATGTTTTATAGTTTTTGTCAGCAGTTTTGAAGAAGTTATAAATATGAAATCTGCCTTAGTTGCTCATGGAAGTTTAAGTGTTAAGCCCTCTCATAAAAACAAAGTTTTGTAAGTTTCCCAAAGACAAAAGCACAGGTTGTATATAGCACCCATGCTTTTCAAGAGCACAACCCTGAGAACATATAGGAGTACAGTGGTGTTTAACTCACCAGGTTTGTATTTCTTTAAGCCACTGCCTCTTAAAGCTTTCCCAGCTTCCATCTTTTCTGCAAAGTGACTCTGAGTTTGGGTTAACATGCCATGCACACCAAGTATTGCTGGAAGAACAATATCAAAAACAATCAAGTTCAAGAGGGAAGGATTCCAACAAACAGCACTATTTCATTTCATTACACTCTGCCTTCAGGTAGCAGATCTTGGATATTTTTGGTCAACTTTTTTTTTTGATATAAGTATTAGCCCTAACTCCCAGATCAAATTTGTAATTCTCCTTTCTGTCAACCATACAATTCTTATCATGTTAGTTCAGAGAATTTAGTATTGAATCAACTAATTATCCCCAAATTGATAGTTTCCTTAATTCTCATCACTTATCTGGTTGATAATGTATTGATATTATAAGGAGAAATTCTGTCTTGGTCACTCATGGGAGTTAAAGGGTTAAGTAAGCTTGATACAAGTTTCCTTTTAACAAAAACTAAAACACATAACTCCCATAAAAATGTCTGTATTGAATATGCAGCAGCCTATGTATGCTATAGACTGTGTATAATGCAGATAGTCAACTATCCAAATATACAAATGATTTGTTACAATGGAGTCTTGATACTGTGATCACTAGAAATCTCAAACTTGAGACACCATTTCATCACCACAAGGAGAATGCAACTAGAGAGCACATTTTGGAACCTTCTGGTCAATCCCTTAGAATTTCACGATAACAATATTCCACTGATTATAGTACTAAAAAGTAACACTTGAACCTTTGCACAGAGATCAATGGTCGTTTCATTTACCTGCAAGTTCCATCATTTCCTCATCAGTTGCATTATCTAAAACCTCACTGAGATCATCAGGGAGCAGTGGAGTTGGATCTTTTTTCCCTGGCTGCTCCTTTGGCCGCCAAACTTTGCCACGCGTTTCTTTCTTGTATGGAACATAATCTGAACGTTCCTTCAGATTCTTAGCCTGTTCTTCCAGGTGTTCCAACAGATGTTGTCGATCAAATGGTCCAGTGTTATCCTTTTCTGTCTGGTTTTCTTGCCGCTCATGAACTGGGAGAAGGGCATTCTTTTAAAGAGATAAAATGTGGAGGAAATATTAAAAATTTGTTGTTAAGAAAGGAAAAACAAATGTCTGAGTTTCTAATGAGAATTGGAACCTTGGTCAATACCAGTTTACAGTCAGTTGCTTCACTTTCAGATTCCAAAAGAACTTGTGTGAAAGCTGGGGGATACAATCACTTTATAAATTTCAAACAAGGATAAATCTTAAAAGGTCACTAGAATGAATAAAATAATAATCACAAATTTTAAAGATTATTAGATAACTGATCATTTTCACAACTGCTTTAGCTGTGTACATAACTGCAAAGGTATTTCATATTTTTTAAGTAAATTTAGTTCTCAGGATGCAACATCAAGTTGATAAAAGCAGTCTTTCAGGAAGTGCAAGAATGCAGAGTGCATGGCAAGAGTGTTTAAATTACCAAAAAAGCAATTTTTTTTGACCAGTTAAATTGTAGCATCTGTTGAAGCCATTAAAAATAGGTCTGTATTTCTCCATAACACAAAACACAATTTCAAGTGGACCTACAAGGCACTTGAACAATCTATTAAATCTGTTCTACTATCAGTTTAGTGCACAATTAAATGCAACATCTTTGCAAAGTCTTTGCAATACTCACAGAGAGAAGATCTCCTCACCATAAGAATTAGCATGCATGCAAGCTGACAGATAACAAAACCAGCTTTTCAAAGTTTCATGCTAAGCTCATGCTATAAAATACTTAGGACATATCATGTCAATGTAACCCCTTCCTGAGATAATAAAAAACTTGTTTAAACATTCGATGTATTAAAATCCGCGCGGAAAATCCCAGCATTTCCTCTCTAACTTTATCGAGACTAGTCTAAGGAAACCAGTATCCATGAAGAGATCTGGCTGCTATCAAACTGCATCGTTACTATATTTACTTTCTGACCAATCACACTCATTATATGAATAGCATCGACAAGTAATTGTCGAGGAATATCAACCCAAAAACACTCACTTCAAGGGGAATTACATTTAGCTTTTTTCCATGAATGACGATGAAAAAAAAGCGACTTTTAAAAGTACCATAGTGGCCAATATCCGAATCAAAAGTTAACATAAACACACGCTCAAAGTCTAATTATAGGTACGTCTTCGTGAATGTGTAAAAGACTGGACTTCATAAAACTGATCATAACATTCACTTTGTAGGTTAAATAATACAAACGAAGGTTAACTTTCAGGTGATCCAAAATATAGCCCTTATAAATCAGTGCTGTGTTCGAGTATAGGGTGCGTGAATCTAGTCACCATGAATGCAAATTACTACAACATACACTCAGCATGAATGTATGTGAGATCAAAAAAGAATCATCCCTGTTTAGGACAAAAACATCCGTACGAACCTAGGTAAAACGCTAAAACAGCGATGTGTCGCTCGGTGAGTTGCAAAAGCAAACAAAGCATATCGAACACATAACATGCTTCGATGCTAGCAGGAGTGAGCGACTCACGACTTGGCATGATTGCATGATTACTTGGATCACTGGAGGGACATCATGTCTTTCTTTAATATAAATTCTTACCTCGGGATCAATAGCTGCATTGAGGTCTGCTAACTCCTCTGGAGACAGAGCTTCCACTAAAGAATCCTCATCGATGTTTTGGAACTGATCGAGATCCACAGACTCTTTTTGCTTCACCCAAGACATGGCGTCCAACTTAGTGCCCAAGTTAGCAAGATTTCGTCAAAGTACTCGATGAATATGACTTTTTCTGCCAAGGATGTCCTTATTTTGGACAGATACAAACTAAAAGCGGGAAAATAACCGGTTATTTCCCTCCTTGGACGAGAAAATCGAGGAAAATTTCATTCACAACACTCCCTTATTCGTCTGACAAAATACTCAAGCTCGACCCAGACCCTCCGCGCTCATAAATATTCCTTACAAAGTGTGATGGGCGGTGTTGAGTGAAATGATGAGTTTTGCTGGATTGTTCTGATAAACAGTCATCCAAGATTGGGCTCCGTTTCAAATTTATAACAAAGTTAAATTGGAACAGCATGGTTTCCATTGCATAATATATCGATTGATTACGAAGTTTAGCGTTAACGAAACCGAGCTAATAAAGTTATTGAACTTTTACTGAGGTATTTTTTTTTGCCAAATATTGTTGTACCTGTTTAGCTGGAGTTAAATAAAATCTTCTCATCATTTTCGAAGTTTATGGACATTTGTTGCACATCACTCTTCTCGAATCAATTATTTAGCGGATTTCGAATGTTATCTCCATCACCATAGAGCTAATATGAAAAATAAACACTTCAGACTGGATGATTGCCTCTGTCACTACGATTTCTTTCACGTAACGGTCACAGATTGAAAGAATCGTCTGCGTCATTCAAACAACGACTCCAAGGAAACAGACCAATTCTGACGCCTATAGAACTGTGACGCTTAAATTTTACAGAAGAATGGATCAGGGATCATTCTCTGTCTCTAAGCAATCTTGTAAGAGCGAAACCCTCGTTGGCTGGAAGCTGAAAGTATCAGTTTCCATATCACAGACATCGCACCCACAAACTAGCATTCCCATCTTTGATGCTTTTAAGTTACATAAAAAAAGTCGCGTGTTCAATTCCCTCCGACCAGCACAAAAGGAAACTCGTGTCCAAAATGTTAGATATCATTACCAACTCTCGGCGATGTTTTGCCGATGTACATCACTTAATATGCTTAAACTGAGAGTGAACGTTTTTGGCAGATAAAATTATTCACAGACGAAATATTTTTTCCCAAGAAATTTCCTTATGTTTCCCTGTCTCTTACTAGTGTCCTTGTTGAAAAACTACAAAGCTGGGCACTTCTGAATCAAAATCTATGGAATTTCTCAACAGAAAAGGTTAATTCATTCTTGAATAAACCACGAAACAGTTTTGTTTATAAATCGTAGGTTGTCTGAGGTCAAATCAATTAAAGTGATCAGTACTCGTGGAAAACACTTTGCATTCGCTGTTAACCCTTTACACCCTAACATTAGTAGTCATATTCTCTATACTGTTTTCTGTACATTTGCTAATGTGCTGACAAGGAGAATTTGTCTAACAATCAAGAGTTTCTTCAGTTGGTGATCATTTCCTTTGTTTTCATGACATTAATGCGTGATTCAGTGATGAGATTGTAAGGAGAAATTAGATGCTAGTCACTCTTGGGGCTTAAAGGGTTAAAGTACAGCTAGGAAAAAGGTGCTGTCATGATTCAAGGGAACACTACAGCCAACAGTTTAAACGCGCGACTTCTCTTAGTCCCAGCCCTCCCCTCCCTTCCACTCCTCTGGTGAAACTTGAGAAACCGATAGGTGGACAAAACAGGAGGGGTGTAACGACAGAGGACCAGGGAACAGTAGGACGGGTAAGGGCTGAGAGACAAGCTGCAGGGAAGAAACAACGCTCTCGGCCTTGTAAGAAATTTTGCGGAAGGATGTCAAGAATACCTACCAAAACTCTTAACCTTGCACAAACAAGAGGGTCTCAATGGGGTCATAGCTTTAATGGCTAACACTTAAACTTTGGGCTACTTTGCGGTTACGGTTAACCCAAAATAACACATTGAAGAAAAGAAAAAATTTTACGGTTCATTTTTCTTTACGGCTAATGGTTAACACCACTGAGACACTCAAACAAACTTATATGTTTTAAGCGATTGTAGTGAGACGTAACAAACCAACGCAAATAATTAAACTCGGAACGTAAAAGTGTACGAAGTTTATTGATACAGCGTGGTGGTCTGATTAACAACCGGACTTTTAGATTAAAAACTACCAGTGAAGTTTCCGTGATTGCCTTCATATAAATGTTTACGCATTAGTTCAAATTCTAACAAAACCTGGTTCATAATATAATCCCCGTCAAGAATAAAAATTGACATCACAGACTATAGGTCTGGTTGACAACCTGATAAGTTTCGTTGTTCTTAACTCTTAGTCTTTAAGACCTAACTACGTGTTCTCGTGCAAGTTTCTGAGATTACATAGTAAGAAAGATACAATTGACCAATGCTGGAAATTCGGTACTGCGATAAAAACTAATTATTGTCCTAAAATTACACGATTTCGTTACACTACAACACAATCACTCTCTAATGTACGATTCCATTAAAATATTTCATTGTTCAATTAAAGTTATCCCGCGCGAGATCATCTCACCAAGTTAAAACTTAAAAAAAAATCATTTCAAGCTACAATTCTATTTAATACATTTATTCCGACGATCGTATCACTGCATAGATTTGCAAATTCACCTAAAAAATTTACTAGAAATTGTCGTCTTTGCACGATTGGCTCCTTCAAAAAGTTACCCTTTAAGGATGTTTTCTGTTAAAGAGGATAAGATCTAAAAGCAAAAGGTCTAAAAGCTAGGAAATCAGTGAAAAGCAGTTGACAGATAAATGATTGGCAGACAACCCCGATGCATTTGGTGGGTGTTGTGTAGTATCTCACTAAGCGTGCTTAGCCAAAAATTGCTCATCTTTCTAGAAAAATATCTTATGCGCGACACTTGTACGGTGTCAGATTCGTCCAATTTGGCACAAGTAGATAGACTTTTTTGACTTTACATCGTCTTTAAATGAGATACTGAACTTTTTGTCCTCCAATCTGCGAGACAAAATAAAAGAAAACACATCATAAGTAGATTTTAAAATAAAATGCCGTACAAAAATGAATTATAAATAAACAAGGGATGAATAACCCTAACCCTCGCTGAAAATAAGCTTTAAATAAAAAAGAAACGATAATCAGCGATAATCAAAGAGGAGAGTAACATTTTTAACAAACAAGAGATTCTTCATGATGAATGCCACTTTCATCAACCGAACTTCTTCTGTTGAAGGAATCATTTGCGAGCATTTTACGCTTCACTTGGTTTTCCCGGCAACTTGAACCGCATTTAAAGGAAAAGATTATCTATTTTCCTCAATTTTAAGTCTTCGCCATAAAATTTTCTCACAGAACTTATCAGGGGGAATCTCTTCGAAGAGGGTTTTCTTCGAATCCTGTAAATTCCCCTTACAGCATCCCTAACAACTCAACTTCAGTAACATAATTTAACCCTTTCAAATGTTTTTTTCACGTTAAGTCCTCCTGTCTACAGGGTGCCATGTCGATTTTTGGACAGACAGACTTGTCTAAAGAAAATTCCCAGAGAACGGTAATATAAGACAACACTAGTGTCGATGAACACAAAACAGTAGCGTTGAGTTGAGGTGGCGCTCCACGACACTCGTTAAACCCTCGAGATGTGTATCTGACTAAAAGAAATTTGAGGAGAGATCACTAACTTTTTTTCTAACGGAGTACCTTGCGAGGCCTGGTAGAGACACTGACAGCGGCAGTTTCGCCTTCGTGACCCTCTTGGAACACATCCACCACACACACATTGCTACTTGGGCTGAAGTTTCGGTCACGGATCAAGAACTCTACACACGGAGCATGACGATAAGCCTCCCAGGAATCATGGAATTCTATGTACTGTTGCACAAAACAAATTCAACTGTTAACCCTTTAACCCCTAAGAGTGACTTGCATCTAATTTCTCCCTACAATATCAACTCAGAATGATACCTTAAGGTCATGAGAATATAGCAAATGATCACCAACTAAATAAAGTTCTTGATTGTAAAACAAATTCTCCCTGCCAGCACATCAGGAAATGTATAGAGAACAGTATGGAGAATATGCATACTGATGTTAGGATGTAAAGGGTTAAAGGAGAAAACATATGGACTTGAATCCAATTTGGAGTGGCTGAGATCCACGCCAGGTGTAGATCGAACACGATAATTTAATTTAATCTTATCAACTGAGTTTGAGCCTGATCTTTCGAGCGTTAGCCCTTCGCCAATCACTCTGATGACGGGCTTACGTTCGAAACGTCAGCCTTTAAACTCTCTACGGTAGCCAATTTACGTGAACAACTCAGTTGATAACACGAAATTACCCTGTTATACTCTCCCAACGACGCAGCACCACAGTTTTTTTTTAAAGAAACTTACCCCTTTATTCATAGGGCAGATCTATCCACTTGTGATGCGCTAGCAACCTGCCTGTGGCCTTAACACAGGTGTAATTTTACTCCTGGCGTAAATGCAATTCTCTACAAGCTTTTTTCAAATTTGTTCAAACTTGTTGACTTCAAAGAACGACGAAAGAATGAGCAACTGCAAGAGCCTAAAACGTGAAACCACTTATCTTCTCAGGATAGCTGATCTAAAATGTTCCCGATTGTCCAATATATATCTAAGTTCTTACCTTCTTGCAGCTTGATCGAGCCACCCAGTTGTTGTTGAGGTCTCTCAGCTGTACTCTGACATCACTAGCGTCTCCGTGCACTAGAACAGGTTTGAACGGAGAAAATGGAAATCGGCCAAGCTCTGCCTCAGAGTTGCATACATCCTAAAAAAATCAATATAACAATTTACTTGACTACTTTGTATCTTACCCCATTGAAGAAAAATCAGGTTTCGCATTGCAAATGTGGCTACTACTAAGAAGAAAATGAGGCTCAACTTGAGTATTATTGTTTGTCTCTCGATATGGTCACTTCTGTGGAGGAGGCGTAATCTCTACTACCAAGAACCCGTCTTTACGCAACCTGCTCTCGCGACTGATTGAGCATTTTCCTCATTTCAAAATTTCTCTCCCAATTGCAATTTTAGATAGCCTCATTTTCTGAACCACAAATTACAGTGCCTCCCTTTAAAAACGGGAAAAAAAACTTCTCAAACCTTAAACGCTGCTTCCGTGTCATCTAGCAATACCACATTCAAAGCCCAGTCATCATTCACCCTTGGGGGAGGGGCGAACACTGCCGCCAACATGCGCTTGGTAGCCTTGCCTCGCGTGTGAGGGCGAGATCTGCCCACCAGGCTAAATGCTGAGAAATGATCCACAAGGACTGAAACCGAGTTGGAATCTACTTGGCACTGGTCTCCTCGGGAATCCCGACCTTGAAGAGAAACGTTCTTCCATTCAGATGGCTGACCTGCGGGACAGCGGTAACAAAACACTATATGAATTTTCATCCAATGAACTCTACGGATCACTAGTGTCCTCCTACAGAAAATGTCTCTTTTTTGATGTCTTACAAAGGCCACAAAAGGCACTGTGAGTCAAATTCCAACAACGCGTAGCCACAAGGAGTATTGATCGATTCTCTCGGTTGAACTGGATACTACACTTTTGTAAACTATTGCAAACAATCAAGCCCTAATTAGGTAACTTTAACAGCCTCAAATCAACAGCGAAACGCGCTCTAGGACGATTACCTTCACATCCACACACTCACACAAATACACGTACCTGTGGGCGTGTCACTGGACTTGAGGGCAAATGACCATCCATCAGGGGTCATGGAGGCACAGTGCGGCAGACGGAGCTCCACAGGTTTGAGGAACTGAGTGCCATGAGGGCCACACATCACTAATGGACTCAGAAGAGTTTCTCCTAACACCATACAAACACAACACGTCACATATTCACCTACCATGTGTCGTTACACAATAATACAGCCAACCACCAGACAAAAACTACTTAAGATAGTTACGATTGTCGTGTGTGCAATAAACGCTGAATTTCAGTAGGTCAGTAGCGATGTTGAGGTTTTTCTAACCGGAAAAATGCTGTCATTTTCTGGTCAAGTATTTCAGGTTGTAAGTAATTCTGTACGGAGCAAAAGAATCACTATGAAACGTAGCCTTTAAAAACTTTGATGTCCTTACCTCGATCAGAATCTAATGGAGGCATAAAGTTGTTGTCTTTACAGACTTTGAAGTAGATTTCCTGTTCCACACCCGGTGGGATAGCACCTTCAGGTATGACAATGCTAACCCCGGACTCCGGGGAAGATAGGACACCCCCCTGAGAAGTGAACTTGCCCCTAGCAGTAGCAACGACTTGTGTGTCTTCATCCAGGGATTCAAAATCACTGAAAGAAACAATACGAAGAAAAAATTTCTTTTGATGGATTAATTGGACTGATTTCAATTTCTTCTGAGCATCTCTCAGTAAGGTCGCGACCACGACATTCAGGATCCTCGGGACAAAACGAATAGACTTTGCTCCAGCAACAAAGCTAAACGAGTCCGTGCGCCAAATTGGCCGCCAAGCGACAAAAACGTCCCTTTGAAGATCGAGTGACTGGATGAAAGTAATCTTTAGTTTTCCCATTACGCGAAAGTCACACGCGAAAAAATAATTTAAGAAAAGCTTGTTCAACATATGTACTAAAAGACCAAATATATCTTCACTTTTATAGAAAACCGTGTCTTGTTTGTTGTAAGAATAACGGCCAGGCTACCACTAAGATGACGCATGGATAAATCAAAGCTCTGAACGAAAATAAAGAAAAACTATTTGTAAATCTGATACATAAAGCTACTTATAGATGCGACCGATGCAAGGAGTTATATTAACACAAAGTTAATATTTTTTGACAGTCTGATAAGCAACAAACGTGACAATTGACGTAACATGAGGGAAACTTTATTAAAATTTGCGTTGCCTTGATCTAACTCTACGCTCTACGAAGCGACTTGATTTTTCACGACTCATCTCCAAATCAACACTTTGTTGAAGCTTGGAAAGTGGCCTTGTCAAAGGCGCAATCGTGAACCTATTTTCCCTAATTCTGTTCTCGAAAAACACTTCCCTTAGCTTAAGATTTCTAGCCTCGGACATTTACTCCTCACCTTGTCACAACGTTCTGTCCTTCGTGATCCATGTTGTCAAGGTCTGACGTGACCTTGTGCCTGTACTCTGTTCTGTACGTCGTCGGTCTCGGGTCTGGCTCGCGCTCTGGTCGGGAAAAACGAGGAGATCCCGAGAGGCGAAAATTGTACGTCACAGGGTCTCCTATGCGAGGCCCATCCGAGGGTCTGCTTGTGGGTGGGTCACGAGAAAAAGGCCGATCACCCGAAGAAGGCCTGTCATTGTTCCCGGCATTGAAAGGTTTAGGAGCGTAAGCTGAATACGCCGATCGGGGGCGTTCGGGTCTCCCCGCGTCAAACTTGGGCGCCGTTCGGGTCGGAATCGTCACTTCGGCTCTGTAACGAGGTTCTCGAGATAGACTTCCCGTTCTGTTCTCAGAATTCATAGGGAACTCAGTCTGCGGTGCACTTTCCACTCGATAATTCGAGACGTTCGCGCGGATTTCAGACTCCGCAGGTTTATCGCGATCAAAACGCGTAACGGTGGGGTAAGAACGCGTTGGATAATAGCTAGAATGTGCTGTCTCCTTCTTATCTGGATTTGAATAATCCACCACAAGGTTACGAGGTTTTCTGTCGTACGACTCCGAGAATGGACGAGGTTTGCGTTCCTCGACAGAGCGCCGTCGCTGAGGTATTAAGGCTGACTCTAAATCTTCCAAACGCTTTTCAAGATCTGCCTCCACTTCTTTCTTTTTCTCCTGTACTTCGATCGGTGGTTCTCGGATGCGATCGATTTGCTCTCGACGCTGACTCGACTCGTTATCAATTGCCCAGAGCTTAGACACCGGGACTCCTACGCGTGCGTCGTACTCTTTGAGAAGGTCGGAATCACCTTCGACTTTACGAAGACTTTCACGCTTCATTCGCAATTCTTCGGCGTCCGCTTCGGACCGATCGAAGCCATCGGGCATTCGGGTCTTCTTGAGTGACTGTCTTAGCTCAACTGGGTTCTCACGAGAAGGAAGTAACCTTGAAAGAATAATAACACAACAGTTACTCATTTTTACTTGTCACTGTTCAACATTGTGCGACAAACAGACAAGTCAGTTCAATCAGTGAAGCAACGTGAAAATTTTGATGACCGTTTAAAAATTATTTCAGAGCTCTTCGAGCTCAGGAATGTGAAGAGCCTCTTTGAAATATCCACTGCTACTTACTTCACGACGTTTCCAGAAGGCCTCTTATAACCTGGTCTTTGTCTCTCCAAAGTGTCTTCGTTAAAACCATGCGTGCCATTACGGAAGTCATCCTCCACATAGCGTTGCCTTGGATGGAAATCTTCTTGATAATCAGGATCCTCATACCGAAGGTGCGGATCAGAGTATGCAGGACGGACCCGAGGTGGCTCGGAATTGACCTACGACAGACAAAGAAACTTGATGTAAGGAAATTGATTTTTACGGTGTGAATATAAACACGTTAATTAAACATTAGTTGCTTTTACGACGGTGGATGATTGGACAACAGTTTATTTCGAGTGAGCGAAATACACTTTTTTTTTTCCTTTTTTTTACCTCCATGGAGGGTTCAGCATGCATGATGTCTTCATCGACAGGCTGGGTCGAGACGGACGAGCGGACAGTTGGTGAGTCTAACGTGGAATCATAATCGTAGGACTGTGAGAAGCGGCTGGGCATGCGGAATTCGATCTCTTCCTGTTCATCGAACTGAAAGAAACGAAAAACAAACAAACAAAACAAATAAATTATACTTAAATGCGTGACCACAACAACAAACGAAAAAATAAAGTAGCTCAGTTGAATTTGCTATTTCTCTTGGGCAGACGGTTAAAAACTGACAAACTTTTGGTTAAAATAGGGCAATTTAGTATCATCAACTAAGTTGATAACGTAAATTGGCCACCGTAAAGAGTTAAAAAACTGACGTTTCGACCGTTAGCCTTTCGCCAATCGCTCTGAAGACTTATGTTATCAACTCAATTGATAATCCTTAATTATCCTGTGATACTCTCCCACCGACGCAGCACCAGTTTCTTTAAAAAATTACTCCCTTTGTTCATTTTGGTTAAAACAATTAACGATGGAAACTTAATTTGATAAGCAGGGCTTCAAGCCCCATTTTTCGAAACGTCGCCTTTTGACGACTTTAAATTGTAAAATGGTCTTCATTTAAATATTTCGGTCGCTCCCCCTCCTCCACCCTAAATAAGGAGAAAAAGAAAAAGAAAAAGAAAAACAACACTCATATCAATGAGCACTACATGAAGTAGTTAGTCAGCTAAACGATGCGATCACAACACTTCCGATTTTTTCTTTGTCTGTTGGTCGCCAATTGGTGACTTTTGTCGAAATTTTAGGCGCCAGATATATTTTCACTCGCCATGGCGACCAAAATGGTCACAGCTTAGAGAGCTGATAATAGATGGCAATGCGGTGAGAATCGAACGACGAATTACCTTGTCTTCTGACATCCAAACTGGATCTTCTTGCTGTTTTGTGATTTCCTCTTTGACTCGTGAATACCAGTTGTCCATGGAACCCGCTGGAATAACAGCTGAAGACACAATAACATGTCCTGTAAGGCCCTACTACGTACGTTTATCCCACCTTGTTAGACATGTGCAACTAGATAGCGCGACACCAACAGAACAAAACACTTAGTGGGAATAAAGTTCCAATTTTCCCCTCCATTTCCTCTTTAAAATTTAGTTGTAATTACAAGTCTACGAAAAGAAAATGACCGTTGCCATATTCCTTTTGTCATCGAACAATGACTCGACACTCTACACGCATAGCAAACAAACAACAACAGATGAAACAGAAAAGGACATCTTCAAACCTGTAAACATGTTGCTATAAAACTGCTCCAGTTTCAGTGAGTTATCGTGTAGTTTCTTAATCATTTTTGCAGACTGATCTCCCACGCCATGTTGGCTTCTCATTTCCCTGAAAAGGAAAACCCGTGTAACACAGGAAGTTAGTATACGACAAGAACCTAACAATCTGTTAAGGAATTCCAGTTAGGTACCAATCGCTCCCGAGAAGAGAGGTTTTTTTTAAATACCAAAACCTTTCTTTTATGATAAAACTTTAAACACCGTCATTGCATCAATTTAGTAAACTAAAAACTCGGTTTGAATAATTACCGAACTGAAAAATCACACTAGAGCCGAGGAAGGAAAGAACAAATTCTCTGCAAGACTTACTTGACCATTTGTTTGTTGGGTGGTCTCAGAAAGATCACAATGGGATACAACTGAGCGAAGTTTAGCCTTTCCACTTCTTCGGGAGTAATGTCCAAAAGACAATGCTTGCCCTGTGAAAATAAATTAAAATCAATGCAGTTTGATTAAGAAATAATTCATACTTCATCTGAAACAAACAACTAATGTGCCAACAACACACCTCACCAATTTTCACTGCACTTCTCCCCACAAAATGTTGAGAGAATTTGGCTCTCCTCTTAAAGCTAACTCTGAAATGATCAAATCACGTCTTCTTTCCACAGTATTCCTACAAAATTCTTCATTGTTTGGTGACGTTTGGTTCGAAACTAATTAGTGACTTACGCTGTCAATTACAGCCTTGATAGTAACGTAACTCAATGAACGTCGGGATGAACGCATGGGGCTTCTGCCTGCTGGCTGTAGACCACGGAAGGCAGCTGAAATTACAGAGAGAAAAAAAATCCTCATTAACCTGTTTGTAGCCTCCTAAGAACAATACATTTCTATGTAAATATTGCCAAATATTGAGCGCTAAACAAATGTAGATAGCACCATAGCTTCACAATAAACTTTGCAAAGGAAAGATAAATCCATGTTGAACAAAGTCGACTTGACTTGCATTAGGGAAGTAACAATACCGACATTTTCAACTCAGCGTTTAAAGTATTCCGCAATCTCATTGGTATTGCTTCACTTTCCTCTGTGATTGGTCGCGAGAACCCGCTCCACATTCTCAACCAATCAGTTGCAGAACTAAAACTGTGAGTGGAACACCTCCCGCTTTTCCCCGTTTAGACCGTGTTTTTATGTTTTTTCTTTGAGTTATCATTAGGATAATTTTCCTTCTATTGGAGCCAATGCGCTTCAATGGCTCCACTGTTCTTACTTGGAATGGCAAATACATCTGGCATGTCTTGAAGAAGCTTGTCTCTTGTAATGTCGGCAATCGGCCCAAGTAACACCACTGGCCTGACAAAACCAGCTATAAAGAAAATAATTTAAGTTAAAAAGCTTGCCAAAGCAAAGGGAAGACACATTTTTAACACAAGTAAAACTAAAAGTATCAATTAAGTAAATATAGCAGCGTTTTGCAGAAGGGAATGCACTTGATATTTCACGAAGTTTAACTTACGTTTTCTGAGAGCAACACGTTCATATGCTGGCAGTTTGTTTTCCAGTGCAGTGGTCGCTGAAAAATAACAACTCAGTGTTACTGATTTTCCCTCATATGAATAGCACATCTTGCGCAAAAAAAGAAGGCAAATAAGCTCATAGGACCCTGCTCATGTATTACTTACTGAATGATTCCTCATCCAGATGATCAGAAGACACAAACTTGTATTTCTTTAGTGTGCCACCTCTAGAGTTGCTCCTCTTCAAGCTGCCATAATTATCACCCTTCCTCGGAGTCATTTGTTCGACTTTTTGTTGAACTTGAGCCAGCTGCTCAGCTCTGTAAGAAACAACAAGGCAATGTCAACTCATAAAATGCTAGTTTTAAACAGGGCGTAACAAAATGGGATTTGCTTCAATTTCTCTCTAAAAGGAAAATCATATGGCTATACAAAGGAAAACGTCCCAAGGAAAACCACTGAAAGCAAATTTTCGCAATTTATACCCTTGCATCAGTATGCATATTCTCCATACTGTTCTCTATACATTTCCTGATGTGTTGACAGTTAGAACTTGTTGAACTATCAAGAACTCCTTCACTTGGTCATCATTTCCCATATTCTCATGTCCCTAATGTGTGTTTCAGGGACGATATTGTGAGGAGAAACTAGATACTGGTCAATCTCAGGAGTCCAGGGGTTAAAGGTTATTTTTGAAGATTTTGTTATTGTAGCCAGTCAATGTCATTCATTCTCCTGAATTTCTTAAAACTCATTTTCAGAGTGCCTTGCAGTGAATTAATACACAAAGGTGAATTTCTGTACTGACGAATGCTGTTTGAGTAAAGCAAGAAGTAATTTGTCTTTTCGCTAAAGTGACACTATGAAATGAAATGATCATGTCTTGATTAAAACCCTCATGACAAGATGAACATCATCTTTCTGTTATCTAAACTTTTCTCATGGTAACATTTAATTACCTGGATTTATTGGGAAGAATTCCAATCTCAGTTTCCAGACCAGTCTTTGTTACAACCTGTGCACGCCATGCTCCAATCACCCCATCATGCATGGTATCCCATATGTGGAACACATCCTCCCTTTGGAAAGAGAACTCCTGTTCCTTCATCTGCTCATAGTCAAAGTGAACTCTGTCAAAAGATAATGAGAAAAAGAAAATGAGTTAACTTGTAAACTTGGCAGAACTTTCTATTACTGCAACTTTAAATCTCCTTTTTCTTAATAATACCCCAGTAAATAACAACGATAATTTTTTTTTTTATAGAAGGTAAAACACACAGCAGTATAAAAACTGATAAAACAGAGGCTCTCTTGTTATTTTTTAAATGGGAAAAAAGGAAAAAACACAAATGTTAAGTGCAATATCTTACACAAAATACTAAATAAACACGCATGTATGCCTTAGTTTTATTCCTAGTTAGTTGTACTACAAGGTTTTCTATTCAAAACCAACACATCATAGCACGTTTATAAAATTAAGACAAACTAAGCTCTACAAGAAAATTTAGCAACGGTTTCTTTTTCAACTGTTCACCTATTGAGCAACATTCAAGGACAAAGTCTCACATATACAATGCACAATATCTGCTGTCACAAGTTTGTAAGGTAACGATGAATCCACTTCACCCAACAAACTTACTTGATGTAAAATGAATCTCCAGATTCTTTGCTGATCTTGTCAAAAGCTTAAAACACAGAGTCAACAGTCAATTTCATAGGGTACAACAAGAAATGGACTCTCTTTAAATTAGTAATTAAATTGAAAAAGATTCTCTGAAGATACCAGAGGAACTTCTCTTACTTTGTCTTCTATACTTGCACAGAAGGTTCACTTCATCTCCAAGAGACAACAAAATCAAAACAGCCTCTTCTCTTGTGATGTCCTTGAAATCTATGTCATTGGCCTGAAATAAAAGATGGCATTCCTTGGTGTTTAGAAAATTTCTCACCCCTCTTCCAGTTAAAACTGTTGGTTCTAAAAGGTATAACTTATCAAATTGAGCTAAAAGACCCTCAAAATCTCAAACTGATCATCAAAGTCAAGAGTGAAATATCATGTTCACTGGTTTAAAAGTGTACTCACCATTAATACTTGATCACCCTTCCTTAATCCTTCATTGTAAGCTGGGCTTCCTTCCTTCACAGCAGCAACAAAAATACCAGTTTTATTTCCACCTGATACTTGGATACCAAGACTGCCACTCTTACGGAATGCCACAAGTCGCGCATCCCTGTTGAAAAAAGTTGAGTTGCTTTATGTCATAGCCAAAATATTAAAATTGCACACAGCAGCACAAGGCACATTTTAATTATCATAATCTTCTCATAACAAAATTACTCTGAATTCATTTTGGAGATTCCTGTACTAGTTCACTTTCCAAGAGTAACTGTAGACTGTCTTAAAGAATTCTGACAGCATATGTACCAGTATTTGAATTGTTAAGTAGAAGTTTCTATTCAAAACTTAGGCAATCTGCTTGTGTATTTATCATTTTTCCTTACTAGCAGGGACTCTCAAATAACAGAAGCATACCCTCTATATCTCCTGCGGTCTACAGAGTCCTGTGCTCCATCCTTACGATCACTGCGAGGCGAACTTGAGGTAGACTCAACATAATTGACACTTGATCTTGACGCATTCACAGATTCATTCCTTCCCCAAGAACTTAAACCATCTGGTGTGTATGACACTGGGGGAGGTGAAGACAAAATACTAGTTACAAGCGATCAATAAACAGTTTCTATGTTTCAATACATAGTAGTGCAACAATTTTGGAAAACATTAATATAGTTAGGGTTCACAACCACTTTTGAATGAGACATGCATTGCTGAAAACAAGACAGCATTGGTTTCAAGTTTTTTGTTCGATATGCTTCGAGGAAAACCAGTGAAGTTTAGTGACTGCTGGCACTTGAAGATAAAAGTGAAAGCAATCTGAAGTTAACAAATGTTTCTTAGGCTTAATGAAACTCTGATTCATGAATCACCACATATTGCACTTTTGCTGTTTCTTATGCCTTTCAGGAAGGTTATGGAATTTTAATCTAAATGCAAAAAAGCTCCCCAATGGTACTGTTTCTCATAGCAGTAAATCCTGCCTGGCCAAGATGTCTTTGCATGAAAAATAAGACATATAATCTGTATAATTATTTTTTCTATGACCTGTGGAGTTCATGAAATCAATTCAAAAATCTTAAACTTCAGATTGAGCTTTTAGAGAGGGTTTGTCTTGAAACTTCGATTAATACCTTCAGCAGGTTTTGGAAAATGTGGTTCTGATTCCTGTTGTGAACTCTCTACAGCCCTGAAGACCTCCTCTTTGTCATAACCTATCCCCGAGACTCGTTCACCAGTATCTGGCCTCTTCCAGCTTGATCCTAGAAATCAATAGATGTACATCAAAAAGAAACATGAACAAAACAAGGGTGCCAAACTGTTTTGTTACAAGAGCACTAAGATAGAAAAACATTTATTTTCATTTATTTTAGCCCTCTTGTTGTTTACTTAAGTCACCAAATGGACCACAGTACACCTATTGACTCCCATGCATCTTAAAGATCAACATCATCTAAGTTACTAAACTCGCACTTTAAAAATTTGAACAGCAACAGCAAATTTATGTCAAGTAATTAGGATGTAAGCTACACAAAGTCATGGCTAATATTTTTGGCTGCTAATTATCATACCTCCATTAATCAACAAACTTAACCTTTTTATTGGAGATCTACAATACTTACCTGAAAACAGCAGGTTGTCTTTATCCAAAGGAGGTGGGGGTCGCTCTGGGAGATCATCCTCACTATAGTGCCTATTGTTGGAGTAATAGTAAAATAACAGTCATAAGGTAGACATCCTGTATTGAAACACTTCCAAAATACTATTTGAGGGTTGGTGCCATACGAGTGTAAACAGGAGGGCAACAACCTCTGCAATGACAAGGAAGTCATCACAGTAATCAATACACAGCCCAGCTCCAGGTACCAGCCAACAGAATACTGACATAGATAAGCTGGTTGTGAGCAAAATGCAATAAAAATTAAAACAAACACAGTCAATTTTCTGCAACAAAGTCCAGAGTATTGTCCACAACTTCATGATTAAGGTAGAAGTGTCTAAACACACCAAGCAGTTTGCAAAATATACCTTGAACATAGCCTCGCGTGTTCTCTCTTACCTTGGAGGCAATTCTGGCTCTTCATTATAGCCATTTGGCAGGTCATGATCTCTGTCTCGAGTTTTGTGTCTAAATGCTGCTGGCAAAGAGTGTGTGCTGTAACTTGGTGGTAACTGGTCATCCTTCAGTACCAACAGGTCCAGTTTGTTGGAACGACGGACCATATCAATGGCCTCCCGCAAACTCATCTCTTCAGATTTACGGTCATTTATCTGTAATGCAAAGGCAAAATTACCACAGGCAAGGAAAAATTCTATCTCAGTCTATGCTTGTGTTTCCTGTTTTTGAAGAAGTTTTTGTGATTCTATACTGGGCCTCACCATCTCGAATAAATATTTCTATATGTAATTATTTGGCACCTATTGCTTTCCTTTACCTACTGTTCTTTTATACAGTAATTAAGATTTCATATGGTTATTACTAGATATTAATTATTTTTGTGTTTTTTATTAGTAGGATTTTGCACAGAGGTAAAAAGCATGATTAAACATTAAATAATGTTTCATTGCGCACCTTCAGGATGATGTCTCCAGACTTAAGTTCACCTTGCCTAGCAACCATACCATTCTTGTCAATTTCTTTGATGAACATGGATCCCCCAAGTGAAAATCCATAACCTAAGAATACAAGAATTGGCCAAATTTAGTACAAAACACAAGCATCTGCACTTATCAAAATGAGCACAAATGATCATTTTATGAACTTGATGCCTCGTAACGTGATTACTTAATACTAATCACATCAACTATTTCAATTCTCTCTGCCATTTTCTTGGATAGGATACCCTTCTTTATATGTAGAGCAAGTGTTCATATTGCTTTGGAATGATCACACAGTGAACCCTTTCTTAAAAATTGCAGGCCAAATTGCTATCCTTTAATACTCCTGTAAATTAGCCTTTCTTGCCTTGACAACATGTACAAGGACAAAAGAGTTTCACATAAGAGGGATGCCAAGAAGGCTTGTTTGCATATAAAAGAATAAAATTCATACCTGCAATTATCAAAGAGGTCTATTGGCTATATAGAAACTAACATGGTTTACACAAAATTTCTTTTAAAAAAAATTGAAAAAAAAAAAACAATCAAAGTATCTCTGCTAGATTAGAGTTTGAGGGGATACAAAATACATTTTTTTTTTTTAGTAACACTTAACTCTTCAACTCCCATGAGTGACCAAGACAGAATTTCTCCTTACAATATCGATACAATATCACCAGATAAGTGATAAGAATAAAGAGAAATATCAATTTGGGGTAAGTTGATCCGAAACTTAATTCCCTTAACTAACATTATAAGAAATGACTGGTAAACAGTGAGGAGAATTGCAAATTTGATCTGGGAGTTAAAGGGTTAATTTTGATGTAGTGTAAAGGGTGTGTCATTACACCTCATCTAATTCCATTGCAGATTTAAGATTATTAGTTTGACATGTTATAAATCAACAAGGTACCTTTATTTTGCTGTTCCCTTACGAGTGTGACAGTTTGTGGAACCTTACTTCCTTCTCTGGGAGTAGTCATCACAGGAGCAAGCTTTTGTCGTTTAATGGCCTAGAAATGAGAAGGTACTGTCATTCCAAATGTAAAGCAGAACTGCATTAACAAAGCTATTGAAGATCTACAAGAGTAAAGACTTAATTGTAGAGGGCAACAAATGAAGAGTAAGACGCAGGAGTCCTGGAAAGAATACTGTCTGAAGTGAAAATAAACAAAAAAGATGGCAAAAGTGACTTTCAAAACAAAATATTGGGAAAATGAAAAAAAAAAAAGAAAAAGAAAAAAGAAAAGGACAAACAATGCTGATCTATTTTGTAAACTTTTTGAAAGCTTGGAAATGTTGCATCAGACTAAAATGACCATCAAAGCTGACCATCAAGGGAAGACTTACTAGTCGCGCTGAGTTGCCACTGTCCTTCAAGGCTTGCACAGCCGTTGAATGCAAAACATTCTCAACATTTATATCATTAACTTGTGTTATGATGTCATTAACCCTGAAATAAAGAGGGAATAGTCAATGAAAAAATTCCACTAAACTGTGTTGATGTGTTATAAAAGCAAGGGGACAAAAATTCATGATAATATCCAAACTCTTTGAAGCCTACTTTTTTCCCTATATCACAGAGCTCCAGAGAGGCCAGGTAATGGGTAATAGTTCAGAGATCAAAGGCTTAATAATCAGTTCACTTAAAATGTCTGTCAAGACCACTGAGCTTTAGCATTAAGATTTTATTTTTACAGGGTTTAGCTCTGCACTGAATATGTCCACCTTTTCCAACAAGAGAATTCCTTGGGAATTTTGTGTATGTGAATTTGAGAAAATTCTGTTCTAGGCTGACTGACACTGCACCAGTGCCTCATTGGCATCTGTCTTCCATGATGATTTTAAATACAAAAGAAGATTATTCCTCCTTTAGACTACAGATCTATAAATTTCTTAGTTTTGCACTAGCTACCATAATTTATCAGCAAAAAAGGTAAAATCTTACTTTAGCAGACCATCAGCAGGGCTATCAGGGACAATATCAGAAACAACAATGGATGTGTCTCCACTCTTGAAGTGGGGGTTGTCTTTTCCACCAGACACTGCAATTCCAAACCCCTGATTTGAATTTGCCTATGTAGCAAAACAAACAGGTATGGTAAAACAAACTTTAAAAATGCATGCATTCACCACAATAACATGTCAAAGAAGACATAAGTTATGAATTTACAATTAAAGACAAGATATCACACAAAAAATCTACTGAAAATTGTGCAGGTCAAATAAAACAACTCTTGGGTTCCAAATTTGCAGCAAAAAAAACTAACAAAAACAAAACAAACAATAAAAAAGGGAAGCTAAATGAGGATTTATAGAAAAAGTCGAATGAGTTGACAATAAATAGAAACAAAGGAAAAAATCTTTAAGAAAACTATAACAACTTTTGAATAAAACTTGAGGTGAGCCAATTCAAGTCAGGGAAAAAAAAAAAGAAAAAAAAAAACAATAGCATTAGAACTGGCCCATCAAGCACAAGTCTCTCACAAAGTAAAAATTAGGAAGACAAATTGAAAATAATTCTTGAGGTGAGCCAATTTAAGTTAAAATAAAAAAACCAACAAAAAACAATAGCATTAGAACTGGCCCATCAAGCACAAGTCTCTCACAAAGTATAAATTAGGAACAACAAAAGGAATTTGCACAAATACAAAAGAAAAGAGACAAAGACAAACCACACACTAGTTTTGCTCTTTTTAAATTTTCATTGCTGCATGTATTCAACATTACTATATCACCAGAAACTCACCTTTTCCAAAACTATTGTTTGCCTTTCCCATACATACTGCTCTGAAGGCTGTGGAAAACAAGACCGTGTCAAATGGTGAAAACCTTGAGCAATAAAATGATAATTCTTGTCAAAAGCTCCGTGCAACTTTTCTTTATATCCCAAAAAGCCACACTTGACAATATAGCGCAAAACAGGACAACACTCTCTCCTTTAAAATATGACCTGCTTATTGTCAAACTTTGACATGAAAATCACACAACACAACCTGTAACTTCACTAAAATGTTTCTGTGTACATAAGTTCACTTAATGTTGACATAAAATGCCTGTACTAAGATTCTTACTTGACAACTACAAAATTACAGCCATTAGCTTGGATAAATAAAGATATGTTTACCTATAAACAGGGATTAAATCTTTACAAGAGCTCTATTTTGGCAGGTACATGCATACATGGCAGATTTCTGCATACTATTCATTGTTATTGACAAAGTTTGAATGTTTGGAAGGGCAGAGTTGAGCATTTGGATTTTTGAAATATTTTTTCTTCCTCCAACTTTTTTTAAGCTCCTGACTTAATGTCTCTAATGTACACAGACATATCTATGAGACAAGTGGTCTGAAAGCAGTCTCTTTGTTGGCAACTTGAAGAGTACATCTTTTTAATTCTTCTCAGAGCAATAATTACCCTTGCATTAAAATGTAAGCATGCAAGGTCTTTAAATTTCTCCACTTCCATTCTGCATGCTGACCAGTTTTGTACTTTGATACATGTTTTTTTTTATTCTTCAGCATAAAAAGAATCATGAACTTAAACAGATTTTAGTTGCATTTGGTGATGGTTTAATGTTACTGTGAAAAGTTCTCCTAGAATTTTGAACTTTGGAACACTCAGAAACTGACATAGGGTCTCAAAGATTTTCATAAAAACATCCCTACCTTCCCAATAACATTTAGCGCTACGCATAAAAAGAAAATAACAATACGACCTGATCATGATCAATTTTCCAAATTAAATATATTGTCATCAAAAATAATAACCCAGTTGCTTGCCAACAAAATATTGCTTTAAGTGCTGAAACATTTGAAGTTAGATCCCTTGTTACTATATAAGAAACCTGTTCGTTTGAGCCTCAAATAAAATCCTAGTGAATTTTAGGATATACAAGTAGACAGCATAACATCATGTGATTGAAAGATATTTCTTAAATTTCTCTCTAGTGTGAACTTCAACTGACCCCACTTCATTTCAATTACTTACTAAACAGCCTTTTAGCAGCCTTGTAACCACAACCAGTTACTATCAAAAGGTGGAAGCTAAATCTGAAGGGTTCAACTCCCATATTAAGAAATGTGAATTTCAAAAACATGCAACAAACATATAAATCTTGGTTTTCATATGCAAGAGGTTTAAAAAAAAAAAAAAACCTTGGTGATTATTCATCTGAGATATGCAAACACCTTATTTTGCTTCCAACCAACCACTGAACACTATCTGCTCTATCCTAACATGATATACTATTTATACTAACAATTTCAATGCAAAGGACAGTGAAGATTGGACTATTATAGCAGATTTAGGGTGTTATTTCTGGTTTAAACTTCACACTCACGAAAGGTACTAAAGCAAGCAAAACTTGTTAAAAGCAATGACTTATGTTGAAAATTTTCCAAACTGGTTAGGCGAGTGTTCTATTGGTAAACATAACAATACAACTGAAGATAACGTCTTACCAGCTAATAAAAATTCTGAAATTATTTTGTGGCTTTCACTGTCTGTAAATCACCATAAGTGGGCTTGGCTTCTCCTGGCCACAATTGTCCAAGTGTGCATAACAGATGGCGTATAAAAATTATTTAAACTCTTCAAATTTAAGAAAACAATGAAAACTGTTTATTTTGCAATCTAAGGTGTTTGAAAATGCTGTATATTGTTTTCCTGATCAGCGCCAAAAGTAATACCATTAACAATTGATAACTCCAACAGGTTACAGTACAAAAACACTGTTCATTGCTTGAATTCCCCTGAATAATAGAATTTGTTGAAGTGTAATGCTAAAAAAAATCTTCCTGGATAAAATTATTGAAATGTTTTGAGCACTATGGAGTAGAACATGGTCAAAATGTGGTGCTTGTTTATTCAAGGGAAAAACAAAGTTAAATAATCATTATTCGCAGATTTTATTTTGCTAACTGCATCAGTAACTCGTCAACTTGATGGAAAAATTCCCATGAGAACGATAATAACTCTTTAAGATTTAAAATCAACCTTACCATGAAACAAAACATTCGGATTATATTTTAATTTCGCGACGAAACGTATAGGCATTCATCCAGTTGTTTGGTGACGCACATATTTATTTCTGCGACCAAATTAATGCTCCATTTTCGGCGCAAGCTTCCTACGTGCTCGTGTAAACAAAAGAACAGCAGTAGAACCTTACCGAAACAGAACTCCACGACAAAGGAGACGCGAACTAATATAAGCATCATGCGTGATATTAAGAAGAACGCACACCAAATACATGTACTAAGAGATCCGATTGAGTCGCTTGCATACGAAATATTTACTTTCACAACCATTCTTTCTTGATAGGGCAAATGATAAAACAATTTGTATCGACTCCTCGTCGCCTTTGAAACTGGATCTATCCGACCTCCATAATACAGAAGGTAGGAAACCCACTCAACCACGAAAATATATTCGACCTCGCAAGTTTAAACCCTTCAGAGTTGATTAAAAATAACTTCTGGTACGGAAAGACACTAACACTCACGTTAAGTTTCAGGCGAGGGTTTTCTCGTTGAAGTCTATGATTTAAATTCGAGATTCGCTCCCACAATCTTCAGTGAAAACAGAAAAACTCCAAAGAACCAAATAGCTTAAAAGGCGGGGTATATGTAAAATGGCTGAAAGAACGACAGCAATAAATTTTGGAAAACTCACACATAAGGCTTTTAAATTGGAAATCTAAGACGAACTTCCAATAACACTCGTGAGCAGTGTATGACATCACATAAATAGAAGCTTCCATCGTGAAATTTCTTGCAAATAAAGGATTTGGAGTGTCCAAAAAATAACTATAGTTGAGCTAAAAATTTATAGGACCCCCCGGTACATCGGCGGGTCGAAGTCAACCTGGGCAGCTAAGTTGTACCTAATAAACCTCATCAAGCCATGAAAAACTGACCTTTTGATACGATTTGCCACGCGAATTGAAACGTTCAGCGATACTATAAAAGCTAATACTACTAAGCTTCTCGAGGACATTCAACGCCTCAGAAAGATAATGATATCTTTATTTGCAGTGAAGTTCTTTCGCTATTGCCTGTATTAATTGTGTAGCACTAATTTTAGATATGATCTGGGATGGGTAACCTACACATCAGCTGTTAAGTCACCATACGTTAAACCACGCTCATAAACACGCATACTCCAAATTCCGTGTGTTGAAAATATTTCACTGTCAATTTTCCCACAACATCGACAAACACACACACATATCAAATTCGAAGATAACCGAGCGCGTCAGTAACACTAACTTAATGGAAAGCACACCCCTTTCGTGTAACGAAAAGAAAAATTCAGCAGACTAAATTTGATATTAAATGTGAAGTAGAAAGAGCAATAAAAAAAAATAGAGTGGATAACAACAAACTTACGCTTGCATCGCCGACTGACTTTCGATAGTTCCGTTCACTTCCAGCGTCATTCTCCACGTAGTTTCGTCCTTCGTTGTACTTTTCTGTGATATATTGAGAAACTTCTCTTCCCCTGTCGTAAGAATAATCTCTCCCTCTTTGCAATTGCTCTTCTCCCCTCATCTCTTTTCGCGGCTGTTCTTCTTGACTGAAGTTTCTTTCGGGTGTGTAATACTCGCGTTTACCGTGATAAAATTCGTTATTATTATTTTCTCTCTGCTCAAAATCTCTAACTCTCTGAGGATTAGAATATCTTGGATAGGCGTCCCTTGGTTTGCCCTCTGAAAGAATACAGCAAATGCAAGCTGAAATTTGCGAAAATAACCGAGCAAGCACGAATTTCCTGAGCTTAAATAAACGTATGCAAGGACAGTCTAATTACAGTGTCATGACTCAAACCAATATAAACGCTGGAAAGGTTGTTTTGCATACATTAATAAATTCGTATCACAAAAAAACCTGCATAAAAACAAAACCAATTGTCGCTTATTGAGAGAAAATTCATGAGTATAATTTGGGATAGCGTTCGAAGGCACAAACTTTGCAAAGCTTGTGCTTTGGCAAGCGTGTCGAGAGTTTTTAAATTTCCAGTGAGAGGACATCAATCGTTAAAAGCTTACCTAAAACCTCGATTTGTGGATTCTTGGCCCTTAACTTGGCTGCCAAGTGGGGATGCGAGTCTTCTAATGCCACACACAACTCTTGAAATCCAGTCGGACCCTTGTAATGGAGTAAGTCAAGCAAGCTTTCCGTACGTTCTTGAGGGGTCCGCCCAATGTTTATTCCATCGATTTCTTTCTGAGTCAGCACACCACTCACATACAACAGCGGACAAACTTCGTTAGTTCGAACGTCTCTCAGAATAAGGTCTCGATTTTCAAGCAAAGCACTTTGGTATGGCTTTAACGCCGCAGCCATCTTAGCATTCGTAGTTCGCTTCGTTCGGCGTCGTTTCCTAGTGCCTCCCTGTCAATCAGGCCAGAATTAATTGTTGGCTTTGTTCCTTAACCAATCAGAGGCGAGAAAAGAGCAATGTACCCCGCTGATTCAATTCATGACAATGAAAAAATATGCGCAAATTTCGGGTCTCTGTTACGGGGTATTTCATCTAAATATTCTTGCGTTTGCATGAACGGTAATTACATTTTCGCTACATCATTCGCAGCGCGCAAGGTCTCTAGGAAACGGGCAATGATTTAATACAGCAAAATTACTTTGCCATTAGGTCACTGTCATTTGATACGTTTCGATACGAGAATTTCATAGATTCTTCGAAATGGAGCGGTTTCAAAAATATGCAGCTGCATTGCCTGTAAAATAACAAGCCAACTGTCGAAATTCCAACGGTCTTTCTGAGTTGTAAGCCAAATGGATTACCTGCAGGCACCTAGGCATAAACTTAAGGCAAATCCGGAACAACATTCAATTTTGCGATATTGTCGAATTCTTTGAACAATTTATTATCAATAAATCGGCGTTAACAAGACCTTAGGTTCCGTTGTCAATTTCACTTCTTGTTAATTTCACACTTCAGAAACAAAAGATTCACTTTATGTCGAATCTAATTTTCATCAAAAATTTCGATTTGTATGAAAAATCAGAAATCGTTTTCTGCAAAAGACAGTCAAGCTTAACTTAAACTTAATACTATGCTTCAATCCTGACCATGGACTTTACTCTATTTCGTTATTTGTGCTGGTTATTTACACAAACTGAAACAACGGGGATCCGGCAAGAGTAAGATTAAATTCAAACGGTAGAAAAAGTAAGCTTAAGTTTCTTAAATGTTCCCTGAAGGCACGATATTACTATCATTAGATCACTTGTATTAATCAAGACATTGACCTAACCCCAATTTTGCATTGTACGTGATGTAGAATTTCAGCGGAATTTTGACGGGCTCGATTAGAAATGTCTACAGATACCTCGATTTAATCATCGTAAAAGAATGACATTTTTGTGACTTGTGGATTTGATAATCACATACTGGTTTCCTGCTCTGCGTAGCCGTATGTTTACAAATTCCGTTTGTCATTAGCGCTTCCTGAGACATAAGTTTTGTACCTTTAATAAAGTCCACTAAGAAATGTTGTACTCAATATCAAACAGCAAGAATGCGGCCCTTGTTTTTTTTTAGATATCACTGGATAAATATCGTCCCTCTATTCGAATGAAATGCAATTGTTCCACTACAAAACGAGTCTGATATTTCTCGCCCAACCGGAAATGAGTCATGATCGTGTTTACACTCTGGTCCAATGCGCAAGAAAGAACTGGAATGTGGAATCCAAGCTAAAATCGTTCTTAGGAATTTTGCCGACGGTCATCTTCTCTACTTTTTTCCCTCTTTTGCTGAAAACTCCCTTTTATTCCAAACCGAATACCAGGTACTTATATTAAACATGAAACAGCAAAGGATACTTTAAATACACAAAACAAAGCATTTTTTGTAACTTACAGTCTCGTCAATGTCGTTTCGTTCAGAACCAGTGACCTCGACGGCCCCTGCTGTTTTTTCACGCGCGTAAATCAACAAAGGTAGAATAAGAGAGGAACCTAGGTCCCCTAATTCTATGTTTTAGCACCTTTCCCTCATTCAATGTAGTTTGTTTTTAGTAGATGGAGCGAGGTCGAGCTTTCACCACAATATCCGCAATGCTCATGGACACGCTCATTGTAAAATGTTCCACACTTATTAATGTTCGTGCGCCAAACACTTGAATATTTTCCTTTTATGGTGAGGAAAGGTAAAGCTAAGTATTGGTCGCTTGCTGTCAATATTACACAGTTGTGTCTTGCTCCATTCTTTATGGGATTTAGTGATCACTGCTAATCAATCTGAGTCTTGACTTGAGGACTCTTCAGACTTCCAGGATTTACCAATAAGCTATTATAAAAAAACATTCATATTAACGAACCTTAAGACGGCAGTCCTCTCTTACAAGCCGCTGCGAGCTAACTACGTGCAATTTGCATTCACTTACTTTGCTCGAAAGAGTTTCAGAAGTGAACAATCCCGAGCGAATGAGAGATTGATTCGACTAGTGCCCAACCGCCAGCTTAGGTACAAAATCAATACAATTTGCCCCCTCTCAAATTCATGTCCATTATTGAGACAGCTGGTCGTGAAAAAAAATAACAACAAAATTGAGTCACCCCATGACCAAAACAAAAATTCCTCCGTTGCAAAGTTCCTCTTCCTGCATGAGTAACCTCTAAAGGGGAACATACTGATGATGTAAAAGAGAGCAGCAAAGCTGCCATGGAAATGAGAAGGAGAAAACGATCCGCTGATCTGGAAAACTACTGCTACGCAAGCCGCGAGATGTCGCGACGGCAGTCCTCTCTTACAAGTCGCTCCGAGCTAACTACGTGCAAAACAAGTCGCACTGACAATTCGCCTCGTGCGATGTTAACAATTTTTGTTGAAGTTTTGGTCTCTGAAGCTATAACGATTTACCGAAAAAATCATGGTAACATAGGCTTTCGCAATTGGAGAGAGGCCTGGGAAAGAGATGAGCAGCTGATGCACTTTAAGGCAAGTATTCCTCAGAGACAAGTAGTATCGCATATTGGGAAGTTTTATGGGGAGAATAGGAGAGACTGAACAATAATGCGATCTTCAGCGCAAAGAACACAACATCAATGCAAATACCAATAAGTTTCATTCAGTTTAAATTCATACAAGTCTCTAATTCTGATATGTATCGATTCGAGCGTTGAACAGACCACATGCAAAATTTACTACGCGTCATGTATATCTCGACAAACTCGTATTACTAAGTAACTAGTTCACCAAAAATATTTATTTTTACAAAAATACAAAACCCTTCTATTATCTACGTTACGAAATAACCTTGGCAGAACTTGAAAGCTTTAATTTATACAATTAAAGGTAGGTTTAACTACTAAACAGATCTGATCGTATGAGCGTTATACCCTTATTTCTCGTCTTCACTATGTAATAACTCACTGATATACAATTTGATCTACCGAGAAAACGTTAGGGTAGCGCAACTTTATATCCATAAATTACTTTTTCAGAGTTATCACTGTTTCCTCTCATCTTTCTGGAACATTATTTACAAAAATACCGACACTTGTTTGAACAAATGGTAAACCAACTGCAAGCGCCACTTGCTGGCTCATCTCAATTCCTTAACTACCCAGTTGCGTATATCGATGTTTCTTCAAACTCTTTGGTTACATTTATTTTTTTTATAACTCTGGCATTTCCAATGTAATTTTTCATTAGTATTCAATGAGAAAAAAAGAAAACAGTGCCTAGCGCGGAAAATCACGAGCGACCACAATCGCGTTTCGTTTTAGTTTTGAATCTGACTGGCTGAGAAAATGGCTACAGTTTTCTGGACCATCGTATGAGGTAAGGCAAGACTAAAGTATATTCCGCACTAATTACGACCTCGACTGAGAATTGCTCTATTGATGGACTTAGGAGAAATACTACTTCTAAACGCCCAAGATTTTAGTGGTCATGACAAAAGTGCTTTGTAGCAAAAAGCTACTCCCAGAGAAAATCCTAACTGAATGCGTTACTTCTTCCATGAACAAAATACGGAGTTGGCTTTCAGAGAAGTATCTTGGATTTTGTCTCCGTACGTACACAAAAATATATATTTTTATATAGATATATAATCTTGTTTGACGTGAAATGAATAAAATCCCAATTTTCAAATATTTATTTTGACGACAAGGTAGGCCATTCTACCAGTACATAAAACATGTTACTGATCGCAATTAAGGTATCGCTAGAGCCCTTGAAACGATTTCAACTAATGTAGTGTGCGAAGGGAGTGCAGCGTTCGACACCGTGTCTTCGCACAGCAATAAAATTCTCGCCAGCTGCTTCTTTTGCACCACCATTAAAAGTGCACCTTTCAATTGAATATCGTAAAACCAAGATCACAATAATGACCCTAGCCAATCAAAACAAGGGTTAACATTAAGCAAATGACAAAGTCGCCATTGGTTCCAGTTTGACATAAGATTAGTTTGAAAAGGTAAATCGAAGAGCGAAGTGAGGTAAAACCAACAAAATTCGAGAAAACGTTCGATACCAAATTGCAAATTGTTTCAAGTCGCAGCGAAGAGCCATTATGATAACTATTAGGATACAAATACGTAGATACATAAATTTACTTTCTTTGTTAATAAACGAGAAATGCTATTTATACTCTTTCGTTTATGGGATTCAATATCTTTCTATCTTCAGGTTACGTCGAAGGCATGTTCACTCCTGATGTGGAGGCCACTCTTTTTTCACCGACCTTACTCTCCTGCTTGCACGTGTGGACAGAATGAACATAGCGCATCACTACTAGCTGGGAATAATCCTGTTGGAATTCTCCTACATTCTCTATAATTCAAACTCTCTTAAACCTAAGTGAAAATAAAGAAAAAGAGAAATAGTCATAAATTGAACCGCTTGCCCCGTTTACACACACACATACACACAAAAACAAACAAACAAACAAACAATGAACTGAAAATATCGAAAAATATAAGCCTACAACAGTAAGAAAGTTTCTAAAAAGTTTCTATTGGTTCACCATTAATTTCCATCAGTCAGTGATACGCACCATGTTAAATTTGGTAATCACCAGCAGTGATCTCATTTAAGTCTCTCATAAGTCCTTCAAGTCCTGCTATTTCTTTGTCAAGCTCCGATACCTCTGGAGCCTAAGAACAAATATAAAAAATTCATACTAATCAAAAACAGTTTTCCTGACGAGGAACTTCGTAAGTAAAATAATTCAAAAGACGACGGGGAAGCAAATGAAAAAAGGGCTCCCTTATAGTCTTTACCTGATCTCTAGGCGGCGAAGATGGCGGACTCAGTGGCGGATTTGACCTGCGCGCGAAGATCTCTTCATATTTCGGTGGCGGAGTCCAGTATCCATTCGGGGGCGTCTTACGGTTAAAACCTACCGGAGGTAACTGTATATCATCCGCTGGAGCCACCGGAGGTTTGGCTTTGGGTTTTGGTGATGTTGGCGGAGGAGACGTGTGAAGCTTCGGAAACACTGGTACCTATCAAAGACACAGAGGATGTTATTTACAAGGGTGATCGAGTATGGCTCATGTGCATGAGGAGAT